TTTTGTCATACTTCAATGAATTATTGCAGGAGAAAAAGGAAGATGTGGTTGAGGAAAAAAAGGAAGAACCTTTGGTAAAAATTTCCGAACAAGCTCCGGCTAAGGTAGAGGAAGCCAAGGAAGAAGCCGTTCAAGCCGAGACCAAGCCAGCTGAGGAAGCCAAAGAAGAAGCTGAAAAGGAAGCCATTCAAGCCGAGACTAAGCCGGCTGAGGAAGCCAAGGAGGAAAAAAAGGTGGTGGCTTAAAACCAAATATTCCAAGAGGAGAAAAAAGAATGATGCCACGTTTTTTCTTATCTTAACGTTCCAATAACTCGTTAGGTTTTTCTATTTTCCGTACTTTTTTTTATTTCTTTACTATTCATCAATAAGCTTCCTAGGCAATTCTGTTTCCTATTGTTATTTGATTTTATTTATTTATTTGTATTTTTCCCCTTGAATCTATGAACTGCATTTTTCGTGTTTTCAGCATGAACAGATGTATCATCTGGCAATTATCATTAACCAAACAATAGTAAATTTATTGGAATATAGCAAATATTCTCCTTATAATTCAACATTTGTTTTAAAACTAAAACAAGAAAATTTATCACTAAAACAAGAAATATTCTCTTGGGTTTCATCTCTAACATACCCCAACTTGTTTGGGACTAAAAGGCTATGTTGTTGTTGTTTGCTTTGAAGAATCTGAGCTAACTCGACATATATAATCAATGTGTTCAAGGGACCATACGAAAGTCCTCTGAGTCCCCTTCAATTTTATCATCATCATCATAATCGTCATCATCTTTAACAGCTCGTATAATCAGCCAAGCCAAAAGAGGATAACTTACAGTCATAAGTGCCCAGTTAGTTATAAGTTGGTTTAAAAACGGCACTTTATGCGTGTCTATTTGCCAAGCAACAGCAGCCCCAGCACTCTGCACCCCTTTATAGAATCCAGTGTACCTAAAACGATAAAGCCTGTTAAACGTACTGCTAAAAAATTACGAAACTAGCCATAAAACTCAGCCTAATTATTAAAATAAACCATTTATCTTTCAAAATTACGACCGAATGCCCCATTCTCATTTGTTTCTGTTTTACAAATTGTTTGACCGAGCAGCCGAGGCATTTGAATGCGACTGTTTTGCCTCGATGAGAGATAAAAAATATGGCACAAAAATAGACATACTTTTGTTCAAGTGCTCGAAAAAAGAACTTAAAATCATGTTAGATCATTCAACCCGACTCAGCCTAGATTTAATATTTGCAATTTTGCATAGCACCGTAAGAGAACAATTGTAAGACAATGGAAAGTAACCAAATAAACTAACCAAATAAACTAACTTGTAGCTTATTTGGTTATGTTTGGTAGACAAATAAGTTATCTTATAGCTTATTTTGTTAGCTTATAAACTTTTTGTATTTAAATAAATTTGGTAGGATGAGCATTTTTAAAAAGCTCGTGCTTATCTCATAAGCTTCTTTGGGTAATTTTTCAAATAAGCTCGTTGAAAATACTTTTATCAGCTAATTTTACAAAAACACTTTTATCATATAAGCTAACTTTTCAGTTAGAAGTCATAAACTATAAGCTATTAGCTCAAAAATCACTTATCAACTAATTTTACCAAACATAACCTAAAACTTTATCAAAAATCTCAGTATCATCAGCTAACTAGCTTATGAGCTAAAAATCTCACTATCATAGTTTAACCAAACATATCCTAAAAACTTTACCTGCTAAGAATCTCAGTATCATCAGCCAATGCACCAATCACCCAATAAACCATGCTCTGAAACATGGCATCCAGCAGCCCGTAACTAAAATACAACACAAATGGGCCCGCAAATTCACCGCCGTCCCTAAAATCCAACCTCTGTTCCGGCAAGTCAACACGGCTATAATCGAGCTGCTTCACGAGCCCACCACTCCAAATGGCCGTCCCAAATACAGCCACAAGCCCAACACCAAAAAGCCCACGAGCCCGTCTACTCTTGAAACTAAAATCCATCACAAAACCGATAAACACAGAACCGATCATTTGTGCTCCCCAATAGAACACGTTGTTCAAACCCCTCGTTCGAAGATTAAACAACACGCCATTCACATTCGTAAATTGATAGCTGTAAAAAAAATTACTCGCCCAAGAGGCGGGCACGATTAAGAGCATTTTCCAATCAAGAAAGAGTTTTAAGATCTCACGAGCCTCAACCCGAATGCTCGAGTATTTGATGTTCGTGCAGCGTGACCCGTCTTCCCGTAAGACCCGACCCGGATGGAGAATTGAGAGGGAAAGAACAGTTCCGATTGACATGAAAGCCATGAAGCCTATATAAGTGCCGTCGTTCACTGAGAGAGCCTCGTTTCTGTTGAAATTCAATATGAAGGGAATTAAGCCGCCGATTACGCCGCCCAGGTTGAAAATGCTCCAGAAGAGAGAGATGTAGAGGCCCTTTTTGCGGCGGGGAGGGTATGACGTCATGATTGCGCCCTGGGAGGCCCAGAGGAGGCCGGCGCCGGCGCCGAGGAGGGCTCCGGCGGCGACGGCGAAGGCCTGGCGGCGGCGGTGGTTGTAGTAGAGGAAGGAGCCGGCGTAGAGGACGTAGGTGGAGCAGCCGAGGAAGAGGGAGAGGCGGGGGCCGAGGACGTTGTACGCGCCGCCGCCGAGGACGCCGGAGACGGAGAAGGCGGCGTAGAGGGCGGTGTTGGCGTTGTTGGCGGCGGTGGGGTCGACCTGGCCGCCGCCGCCCATGCCAGAGAGGGCGTTGAACATCCCAGGGCAGCAGAAGCAGACGAGCCCGATTAGGGCGACCTGGGCTAAGGGCGAATTGTAGCGGAAAGTTGGGAGCTTTGGGGGGGATTCAAGCGATTTTGACGATGTTTCTTCATCTTGTCGGGAACCCATTTGATGAATTGCCTCACAGAGAGATTTGCATAGGACTTGAGGTAGCGAAAGAACTGGACTTTGTTCCTAAATAAAAACCCAAGATTTATTATACTCGGTTGAAGATGAAAAAACACAAGATTATTGAAGTGTGTGAAAATGTTGAAGCCCGATCTTATCTAGTGCTGCTGAAGATTTTGAATCCTACACATCACAGTGTTCAATATTCGAACAGTTGGATCGGAATTTTTTGTAGATAGTTTTGGTTGCAACGAAGGTTTGGCCAAATAGTGTGCCAAAAAAGTCAAAATTTTAAGCTTTTTTAATTAATTATTAAACATTTCAATATAAAGAGATTTGAACAGTTCAACCATTATCGTCTTTTCAAGATCCAATTTTTGTGTTTTTATTCTAAGTTTGGTGAGATTTTTGGGATTTTTAATTTTTAATGTTTCTTTACAATTTTTCGTGTTGGCTTTTTTTTATCCCTACATCTAATCGTTTTAATTTAATTTCGTGGTTTTATTTTATTTTATTATTATTATTTTTTTTTGGTGGCGCGATTTTGAGGGACTCGAGCAGAACTGCAGAACTAAGCTAATCTATCAGTGAAATTATCGAACCATCTAAGTGACAATTAAAAGAGAATATCAAAACTATTTGAAAATTGCATTAAAGGAACGTATTTCTACTTGGAGGTGGATTGACTTGGACTGGAAAGATTTTTTTTGAGTCAATGTTTTAGTAATCACAATTCCAGTGATTTTAAAGAAGGTTACGTAGGAAAATTAGAACATGTCAATATCCATTTATTTTTCTTTACACAAATATTAAAATTAGTTTAAACAAGTTCTAGTGAGAAACATGAGATACGGAAGTAATAATTTTTGTGTGGTCAGTACATATTAACTTCTTCTGCGAAAAGATGAGAATTGAAGAAAGAAAATTCAGTTTCATCTAATCTCACTCTCTCTACCAACACAATTAAAAAATAAAATTAGAAATTAATTATTATTATATATATTTTATATTTTCCCATATAATATATATTCGCTGACTCATATAATCAGTATTCTACTATTCACATCAAGTTTAATTATTATATTCATATTTTATTATTCATTCATAACCTCAAATTCATTCCCTTTATAAAATTTATTTTTAATCTATTTTTCGAGCAAAATATTCTGTTTAAAAGAAAATCTTATATTCAATGCCGCAGAATGAATTTAGCAATGAAGTTTTATAGATATAGCATATAGGAATAGGATAGGATAACCAGTGCAGAAATCACGGGTGGTCCTTTTATGTCCTTGTTTGCAATAATTGCTTCGATATTGAACCGGACAATAATGCAACAATAATTTATTGGCTTCCCAAAAATGAGGGTTATTTACTTATTTCTCTTGGTATCAAAATCAGTACATCGTGATCTAACAAAAAAAACATAAATTATTTATGTTCAGAAGACTATTGAATAAATAATAATCCCTCCATTTTGAAACATAAGGTATTTAAGGTTATTGCACAAATATTAGGAGACATTAATTAATGAATAAATTGACTATATTAACCTTATTTACTCTAATCATAACCACTCCACACTTCCATAATTTCAACACAATGAGGATATACTTAGAAAAAAATGCAAAAATTTGTCTTGATTTTTGAGCGCGCCTTATATTTCAAAAAAATTGAGAAATCTTTATACGCCTTATATTTCAAAATGGAGGGAGTAATAAGTAATAAAAAATAAAAAACTGCCAGGGCTGTAGTGTAGACTATAATATTGAAGAAAACAACAGGAAGACCTACCCATTTGGGCAGTGTCCATTCAGCTAATAGCCAAATACTAAATACCATTGGACCAAACACACATCCACATGGGTGTGTGTGAGAATCACAATGTGTAAGTGTGTGATTCGACCGATAACAATCCAATGTAGGCATTGGATCGAACATACCAATGCAATAGATCCAATGAACTAAACCAACCTAAAAGGAACCATGTTTCCTACAATTATTTTGGCAAAAAAAGGGAACATATTTGAGTCGAAACACCTCCGCTCAATCAACCACCTATTTTCATGACACTTTGCCTTCGTAGACAGCAACTTTCAAGCAATCGGAAAGAAAAACCGAGCTGCCTACAGATTATAGTCAAGTGGTTCGTACAAATTTAGCATTCTATAAAGGTCGGTCCTCTTGCCAGAAATAATGAAACAACAAAAAATACAAAAGTTGAAAAATAGGCTACGAAGCACGAGTCTACTTTTTAATCTGAAGCCGTCACATCTCTATGCTCTCTCAAAGGAAACTAACTGCAGGCAAAGTTATTAAAAACATAAAGGGCGGCACAGAAAATGATTTTCAATCACCTTTTTTTTTAATCCATGCGTCTTTTCATTTCTTATTCTTCTCGGGGCTTTGCAGAGAAAAAATGGGTTCACCCTCGTTATCCTGATCAGCAGGTTCAACGGCTGAGGAAGTTTTGTAGATAGATTCCCAAGATGAATCCTCACTTCTCACATGGTCCGGTTGGGAGATTTCGGAAGGGTCTTTGCTCGGGCTTTTGCCAATCATGTTCTTGTATATAGAGAGTGCTTGAGCCATCATATTTGCTGGGTTGGAGGCATTGGAGGGAAGTAAAACCGTCGTACTCTGAAAAAAATAAAAATAAAAAAGAAATCTTGCATTAGATTAGTGAAAACGAGTACTTGAAATGTATTAAGCTAGTTTCAGGATTCAA